GACAGAAAGACTCACCCAGGTCCGAGTTGCAAAAGGCTGTCTGTGGGTGGGGTGGTGCACAGGTACAGGCCTTACTGGAGGCAATCAGTGATAGCAACAAGAGGATGCCAGAGGCCAGAGATGCAAAGGGGGCCATAGTGGTATCTGCTGGGAGAGACTAGGCATTAGTTAATCCAACTGATCTGTTTACCCATTGGCCCTAGGGAGATTAGGGAACTCTTTAGGGTAGAGAAGTCTGGGAATCTTAAGGGGGTTGAGAAACCTGGAGAGGTTCAAGGGCTTAAACAGTTGGGAAAGTTTTGGGTTTTATTGAGTTTCAGTGATTTAGGAGATAGTGAATTGGAAGATAATGGAGTTGTAGCAGTTGATGAATCAGGGAGCTGAAAAGTCTGAGAATTTAGTGGAGTTGGATAAGCCTGGAGACTGACATTTGTGAAGTAAGGAATTTGAGGTTTGGGGAACTAGAGGAGGAGAGGCTGAGAGTTGAGGGCTATTAAGACATAATGGCCAGGGGGATTTGGATCTACTAAGGGTTTTAGAGGAGGTTTGGGGTTTTAGGAAACTGGGGGAAATTTAGGGACTTTGGGTCTGGGGGGAATTTGGGAGCTTTAGGTAATGGGAGTGTTGAGGAATTTGAAGGTGGAAGAACTTTAGAAGTTGCAGGAGCTGGACATGGCAGGGGGAGTTAAGGGAGCTGTAGGGGATTTGGGGGACAATGAACAATTCAGAGGAGTTGGCAAGTTGGGAGGTCTTTAAGGTATTAGAGGCTTGTGGGTTTGGAGCAATTGGGGATGAATGCTAGAGGCATGAGGGAGTCTGGAGAGTCCAGCTTGGGACACTCATTCCAGACACACTCCCCTTATATTCCCTGTTGGCCAAATAGGGATCCTGATACCAGCAAGCCTAGTTGAGCTGCTAGTCTCAGCAGGGAACTGGATGTGACTGGTGGTGTCACCAACACAGGCTCCAGCTAAGCTTCAATCCTGCCAGGACACCCGGCTCCCACTTACCTCTGGTGTCTCTCTAGAAGCCCGATCTGTGGCGATGGCGGCAGGGACTGAGCAGTGAAGAATAAATGTCCATGCAAGGGGCGGAGTTGGCGCGGAAATCACAGCCTCCAGGCTTCCTGGACGCATTACTCATCCACCCACCACAGGAATCGAAGCCTAGGGGCGGGCCGGAGGACCCGCCTAAAGATACTCCCTGCGCTGCCTGCCAGCCAGCCCACTGCGCCCCTTCCCCCCACCCCCAGCTCCACGTCACTCGCATTCCTCCCTGGCGGCCTTGAAGCACAGAGGAAGGGCAGCCCAAGCCCTTACAGCCCTGTGCCTCTCCAGTCCCCCACATCCCCCAGCTTCCTACTGTGTAGCAAGACGGGCTTTCCAAGTGGACCTGGCGTTCTGGTGAGGGGTAGCAGAGAGGGGACAAACTAGAAAAACTGTTGAGGGACATGAGAAGGGAGAAGAGGCCCAAATACATAGTGGGGAAATTGATACACCGAGTGTCTGTTCAAGATGGCAGTTAAGTGTGTCACAACTGAGAGAGGAACTGAGATGGCGTGCAGACCGAGTTCAGGTGGTAACCTATCCCCAAAAGTTTGCTGTGGTTGTACACACCAGATGTTTGAAGATTGTGCTACAAGAAACCTTGTTATAAACAGAAACAAAATCAAACAAGCAAATAGCTGAATTTTGTCAGGACCACAGGACAAAACTGGAATTTAAACCTGGGCTTCTTGACTCTGGTATCTGGGATCTTAATTCAGGCAGGGCCCAATCTTGGCAACCATGGAATGGTGTGGTGAGCATGAGGGGGGTGGGTAAGGGTGTGGGTGATGGTGAAAGAAGCAAGTGAGTCAGTAGAAAACCCATACCCACCCCATCCTGCCCAGCTCCTTCCCCAATCAGCCCACATCCCTGGTGGGGTGGGATGAGGCAACTGCTGCCCACCAGCTTCCTGATGATGCAGAAGTATTCCCTGGGATCTTGTGGAAGGGTTCTATGGGATGATTAACACCCTCAATACAGGGAGGGTAGACCAATAGCAATGACAATGGCTGTAATCCCAGCAGGCAAATGGATCCTGAGAGTTTGAGGATAGCCTGGTCTATATAGTAAGTTCCAGGACAACCTGGAACATACATAGTGAGACCTTGTTACATACAAACACACAAAAATGATGATAGTGATGACAGCAGCTACTTGGTTGAGCACTTACTGTACACTATTGCTATGAACTTTGTGTAAATTTACTTTAGCTAATTAAATTTTATTAATTTAGATTAGCTCACTAACCATAGCATACAAAAAAACTACTGCCAGCACTCAATGGAATACTCACCATATACAAAAGTTTGAAAAGTTTTTTTCACATGTATTCAGTGTGTGTGTGTGTGTGTATGTGTGTGTGTGTGTGTGTGTGTGTGTGTGTGTCTGTGCTCATGCCATGGCATGCTTGTATTGTTCAGAGGACAACTTGTACTAGCCAGTCCTGTCCTTCCCTATAGGTTCTGGGGCTCAAACTCATGTTGTCAGGCATGCAGGCAGCAAGCACCTTTATCTGTTGGACTTTATTTCCTGTCCAGGATTTTTTTTTTGTTCATTTTCTATTGTTATTATTCTTTCTTAATGTCAATTGATGAAGAGGTATCAAATCAGTAACAACAATAACAATAAGAGAACCAACACTTTGAAGATTGGGGGTTACTTTATGTGTATACTAAGATTTTTTTTCTCTGAAATGATTTATTCTTCCCAACATGTCTGTGAGTTACAATTCATATTTTCACTATTTAATGAGAAAACAGAGACAGAAAGGAGTCAGATGGCCTGTTCAGGAATGAGAGTGAAGAAATCACTGAGGGGGGGAGGTAGGGATACAAAGAAAGGAACAAAGGGAAGGAAACCAAAATTCTCAGCCTCTGATTGTGAAAGTGAGGGGTGAAAGTAGATGAGACGGGTCTGAGTAAGTAGCTGGCAGGACTGAGGAGAAGTAGAGAAGGAAAGTCCAGACTCTCCTCCTCTATGGCCCTGCTTCTGACACCAGCTCTTTATGAAACCTGGGTCAGCACACTTTTGCCAACTGTTTACATGTGAGGATTCAGATGGTTGTACAGGTTTGAAATGGAGTGGGGTGGATATCACAGAGCGGTGTTTAGCCTGTATCTATCTGGGGAACTGGGTAGATGTGAGGTTCCCACAGGGATCCATTGGCATGTGCAAATATCTGATAATCCCCAGAAAGGGTTAAGTGCTTGGTCTTGATTAAACCCTTTGTGCAGACCAGGAAACTAAGGCCCAGATAGCAGGCTATGTCTCTCCAGGAAATCCCAAGCTCCCTGTGTGTACATATGATAGACACACATACTTACATGCACACACAGTACTTTGTTCAAGATCAGGAACAGAGGAAGCAAAGTTGGTTTATTAAAAGGATCAAGAAAGCTCAGCAGGTGGAACTAGGTATGCTTGCATGTGTACAGCTCTCCGGTGTGTGCTTCTGTGAGTGGCATGAGTCCCTTGGTGGGCTCCATTTCCCTTCCTGAGAGCCAGGAATATATCTAAGTGTGTTCCTCCTGAGAGCTGAAGGTTGCAAATATAACTATGCATGTCTCATTCTTCTCTGTGTGATGAATAGATGCCTGAGTGGAAGATCTCTCCCTTGTCACACACAACACGTGTCTTGGCATAGTTTCCTTGGCCTGCTGCCTGGATGACACCCTTACTGCCACCCCCCTTTCCAAACCCATGCCACTCAGCCCTCCCTCCCCATGAAGACACACATTTGGGAAATGAGGGAGGAGGTTGTAGAAGGAAGGAGGGACCTAAAGGTCAGTTGGTCACCCTTAGACTATGGGGCTTTCTGTGCTTGTTGGGAACTGCCACTGCCCAAGGAACCCCTCTAAAAATGCTGTCCCTACCCTGTCAGTAGGAGGCAGGGACTCTGCATTTACACATGGGATATGATGGGACTAGGTCCTCTAATCTGGTCCCTTCTACCCAGCCTAGGGTACAGGGAGACTTAACATATCTTTGCCTTGCTCATAATTGCCTGAATTTATGTCCACACCCAGGAGTGTTGTCTGTGTGTCTGATATTCTGTATGTTTGTGTTATAAATATTGAAAAATAAGTTTAGCATCTAGATACATTTTTCCATGGGCCCCGGGAATGTGATGAGGTCTGAGTTATAGGAGTTTGGTTATGAGAATGCCTAGAAGTACACACATGTTCTGCATGTTGTTTTGATCCATCCTTCTGTTGTAGACATGCTGGGGAGTGCTGAATATGTCCATTTATTGTGTGCCTCTAGAGTTATTCTGTTAAGTAGGTGTGAGCAAGTGGAGGGAGCTCATGTGTGTGCTCCAAGGTACCAATTGTGGATCTTAGGAGTGTGCAGGGCATGCTGCTCAGGTGTCCTGGCAGCTGCCCCATGCTAAGAGCACCTGGCTGGCAGAATGAGTACATGAGCTGAATGACTGGATCTTTGCGAAGCCCCAAATGTGATTTACGCCTGTGGTTGTCTTTCTCAATACACGTGGACTTCTCAATAGATGTGGACACCTCTGGCTTTTGCTGGGTAATCTGAGTTTTGAAGGTGTGTGTGTGTGTTTACATAAAGATGAAGCTTACATGCAAGGCTTGACTTAAGACATTCTGCATGCTAACTACCACATCTTCACACACACACTCACTCCAATATCCATTCATTACAAAAAATAAACTTTCTTTTATAGGAAATTCCCTCACTCTTATCTAAGGCCTATGCCTGGAAAAGCAGATATGGAAAGCTTAGAGAGTGGAGTAAGTGACTGGCAGGCAGGGTTCTGCAATCTGGGCTCAGACTTGCTGTTAAACTATCAACTGCAGTTCTGCTTGTCTCTGACCAACCTCTTTCTGGGGGGAAAATGGCAACCAGTGTAGCTCACATTCTATGGGTCACCAACTCTTGGAAGTCAGCACTACTGCTCTGACCATGCCTCTTCTGCCTCATCTTCACCAGCTCAGCAGCACAATATACCCTGTGGTTGTGAAGATGGGCCATGCACACTCTGGGATGGGCAAGGTGAGTCACAGTAGTGCACACATGCATGTTTGTATAGTGCATGCTTTGGCACTGTACATAGTTACATGTGCATCTGTGTACTCAATGTACAACAATACTTCTGTTTGATGATGCTTTCTGGGATGCCTTCATATAATTGGATTTTGTATTTTCTTTTTCAGCCCACATTTCTCTCATGCAATCAGCTAATTTTGTATGTCCTATCACTGTGCTAGTGTACCAAGCTGTGTATATATAAGCATGGCTCTGTGATGAATACATATCATCTTTTATGTTCCAGGCTCTTGGGGTCCAGTATGCTTTCCATCCAGCTGATTTTGTCTGTGTGTATGTAGCAAGCAGATTTGTAATTTGTAAGTTAGTGTGTCTCAGCTTCTGTGTTTGTATATTATCTGTACAACTAGTTTTTGTGTCTATATATGGCCTATGTGCAGTTCTTTTTACAGCTTTATTGAGATATAATGCCACACTTCATTCAATCCCCCTGTTTAGAGTGGGTAATTTGGGTTGAGGACATAGTATAGGGGTACAGCCTTTGCTTAGCATGTGCAATGTGTTTGGTCCCCAGCACTGCAAAAAGAAATGTTTTTTTTTAGCATACTCAGTTATATGCAAGCAATTTTATGCTTGTGTGCACATGTATGAAACAGGATACGCATGATTATGCATGCTTGAGTGCCTTGGCATATCCACTTCATATTTGTCTACACATCCCTCCAGAAACACCCATTCCTCATACTGCCTTAATCTCACACCTATGCCCACAGGTCAAGGTAGACAACCAACATGACTTCCAGGACATTGCAAGTGTTGTGGCATTGACTAAGACGTATGCGACTGCTGAGCCTTTCATTGATGCCAAATATGATGTGCGTGTGCAGAAGATTGGGCAGAACTACAAGGCCTATATGTGAGTTGAGAGACAATGGCCTTCAGAGGGGCCCTGCCCCATGCATTTCAGGCCCCACTAACACTCTTCCCCTTTCCCCCCTAGGAGGACATCAGTGTCAGGGAACTGGAAGACCAACACAGGCTCAGCCATGCTTGAGCAGATTGCCATGTCTGATAGGTGAGAGACATAACTGAGGACTGGGAGGGAGGGTGTAATGGAATCACCTGGGCATGGCAATGACAAACTGCCTGCCCCTTGTCTTGGCAGGTACAAGTTGTGGGTAGACACGTGCTCAGAGATTTTTGGGGGACTTGACATCTGCGCAGTGGAAGCGCTGCATGGCAAAGATGGAAGGGACCACATTATTGAGGTGAGATCACCCCGGGATTGGTGAAACACAGAGGAAAGAGTGAGTGGAA